TAGTGGACAGTATGTTACTTAATGTAGCTAAAAAATGTTTATGTACAACATATTATTCGGATACATTTAAACAGATAATTAATTTAAAAAATGCTGAGTTTCCATCAAAAGGGACCTTTTTTGTTATTGAATGTGCACATTATATTAGCTCATATACGGGTACACTGTTATCAAAGGATGAAGTTTTCTGTTATACAATTATTATGGATAGTGACGAAATATTCAAACAATGTTTGTCTCATAAAAAACTATTTGATAATGTAAGTCTTACTCAAGCTATGACATACCTCATAGATATTCTACAAATGCCGCTAACTAGAATGTTTACTAAACATTTAACAGTAATAGATTATCTATTGTTAATTTTACAACAAACAGTTGATGATGCTGATCAATTTGAACAACATGCTATAGAATTAATTGCTTCAACAACAACATTAATATACAGTTTAATATACAACTCAAAATTTCTTAGTAAATGTAAAAATGTTACAGAATTATTTCAGAAACATTCTGCTTCAAATGACAAACGTATAAGCTTTAATGCCAGAATGATCACTTATGCGATAAATGAAGATAAAGCTGAAGAAATAGAAGAACCCGACAAAGTGATAACAATATTTGTCAGTTATCTTGGAAATTCCGTAAACGATGAATCACAAAGATGCGAAGGTGTTCCATTGAAATCTTTATTAACGAGCTTGAAAAGTAAGTCTTCTCTACGATTTTGAGGAAACTTTGACTATAAGCCAATTTTGGGGTATTGATTACGAATCTGTCCAACCGGAAAAGTAAAACAGCTGAATAGCACTGATCATATCTAGTACTAAATAGGCTAAAAGTTTGAGACTTTTTAATTTATAAAGTCTATACTGAACATTGATCACACGAACTAGTTTACTTGCTGCGTACGAATAAGTTCCTTACGTAAGGCGAAAGATCACAGGCGATATGAGGAGGCTGTGGCTCGATAGCTCAGGGGGTTAGAGAGTTCTATATAAACATTTTTCAAAAACACAGAGAGAGCGGAGAAAATTCCTCTTCTCTAAGAAGTCAGAGACCCATCACTTTAACTTTTACTGGAGTTGACGATATCAACCAGAGATCCGCACTGGACGGGCTGGGCCGGGCTTAGGCCGAAAAGTATTTTGGTCAGGTCGGGACAGGTCCCACTCAGAATTTTTAAGTATGCGTGGATTTGTAATTTATGTGTATACGCAGTATTGAGAAAGAGTATGATCACTGTTACGCAGTGACTTAAGAGAGGCTCCGCCACAGCATCGAACATACTGTCCGCTGGAAAATTCTTTTTTTTAATTATTCACATATCATTCGAAAGAGCATTCAAAATGACTACTAAGCCTGTAATAACTCGTTCTGACAGTCTTTTGTTAAGATACTAGAGACAAAACATTCTACTGAAGGTCGCCGATTAATCGAAAAAACGTGAATTTTTTGAATTTGCTTAAAGTGCTAAAACTAAGATCAAAACCAGTGGGAAATCGACCTCAAATGCGGTGCGTGTGGTAAAATGCGTGTAGAATCATAAAAAGACATCGCAAAGGGCCCGCCAGCGTCTCACTTTGTAGAAAAATGTTTGGAAAATGTCCGGATCTTTGACATTTGTATCAGAATTTAGAAAAGTAAGAGAATGATGAAACCGATACTTATCTCCAATATTTGATATACAAGTACATCATGTCCGTGTTTTAAAATGTTTTATTGTAAATGAATCGATGCAGAATTGTCTGTTCTACAAAATGTAGCTAGATTTATTTTGGGACTGCCATAGGCGTGGTACTTCATAGGAATTTCCTAGTTTTGAGAAAATAAAAAAATACGTGTAAATGATACAGCGACATTACCGCGAACGACATTACCGCGAATACAAAAAACGACATTACCCCGAACACAAAAAACGACATTACCGCGAAGACTTGTCTGTTGGAAAAGCCGAATAAATGAGGCCGGTTTTGTATTTTGTACATCATGTTTTCAAACTTAACTGACGTTGTGTGGTGACTAGTCATTATCTGATACAGCCACAGATATCTAGTTTCCCATTACGATAATATGTTTTATGTGAAAATACTTTTCGAACTCACTCTCACAATGCCCTCTCCCCACCTCCCACCTCCCTCCACATGATATACAAAGTACAAAACCAGGCTCATTTATTCTTCTTTTCCAATAAACGAGTCTTCGCGGTAACGTCGTTCACTGTAATGTCGTTTTTTGTATTCGCGGCAATGTCGTTCGCGGTAATGTCGTGTCACGGTGTAAATGTTTATTACGTAACATATTTTTCTGAATACCCTCAGAACCATCGTTTCAATAAACCAGATTTTGGTTATTTAGTACATGCATAAGACATCAAGTTCCATATGTGCCGAAAGTTGTATTCATGTTATTAGCCTAGAACTAGGCTAATGACATGAATCAAAGGCGCTGCGCAGACTGTACGGTTTGTTCACGTAATTTGATACTTCGTTAATCAAATTTTTTTGAATTGTTTCATCGCAAAATCGATAGGGGCACATTATTAGGCGCAGCTTTATAAAAAAATTAATTTGCAATATAAACATTTTAATTTCAATTTTCTGACCTAGACATTTGGTTCAAAAAATTTTAAAAACATACTATTTAATAGAGAATTCAATTCGTTACAAAATGGCGCATTTTATTTTGAGATCGATTTTTCAGTTGAGATACAGTGGCTGCTTGAATGTTTCGACTTCCGCCTTAGTCTGAAAGCCTCAGAGAATTTTTCGAACTTTATTTTCAACTGGAGTCTTTTCGGAAAACCTGGAACTACACAGAGTATAAGTATGGAGTGTTTTTAACAACGTTTAGTGCCTAAAAATAGTGCGACAAAAAAGTGTGTCACAACGTTACTTTACAAACTCGACGTTTCTTGGTGTGAAGAAAAGTTTCGAAAAAAGTTTTTTGTACCAAAAGAAAGCCCGTTAGGCCCTCTACAAACTTGCCTCTAGAAACTTTTCAAATGCACAGGTTAATTCGCGGAAAATGAGAGCTATATCAAGAGTTCTCAAAAATTAGGGACCTTTTCTGTCACAACGTTACTCGCCGAAAAATCTTTCTGGAAATTCGGGTCTTAAACCGAAAAACTTCATTTTTATATCGTAAGTAGAGGTTCGTAAGCTACGTCGAATGGCGCCCGAAAGAACTTTGTAGCTCCTACAGTCTTCGAGAAAAATGCAAATTACTATGAATAAAAATGTCACAACGTTACCTTTGGATAAGTCGTGTATTTCGGATCTCGATAACACATTACACTTGGATAATTCCAAAATGCGATGGGTATGATTTTGGCCTAGATTGAAGGCCTATATCCTGCAAAGCTAACAACGTATACATGATCTCTTCTTTATGTTATTATAAATAAACAGCCATACTCTGTGTTGGACATAAATTTCTGGAAGATCTCTGAAAAAATCATTCCACAAAATAAACGAGCTTTGAAATCTTTGATTATTCTAGCGTGTGCAAGGCACGCGATTTAGTTTATTATACCATTTTCAAGTTGAAAAGTTATTTTCTGATAAAGTTTTGAATTTTAAAATTTAATCGTTATACTTGGCCAAAGTTATACTTATTTTCGAAAAATAATTCTTTAAACGTTTTACTTTCCCATAAGGTGACTGAAAAACAAAGTTTATATTGTTATTTTTTTTATAGTTCTTGTTCAAAACGATAAAATACAAGTAGAACTGGTTCAACAGAATGGTATACCATTGTTAATCGAATGTGCATGTGAATCAAAGTTTGATGCAACGACCATTCAACTACCATCTTTAGAAAATTTATGGACAATGTCATTTCTTCCAAATGCTGCTGAAATATTAAAAAATCATCCAGATTTTATTCAGAATATAAAACATAAACAATTAATATCATCAAATAATACTGACACTAGAAATGTGACTAATGGTTTATTATGGAACTTGAAAGAAGAATCTGAGAGATTATTAATAATAAAAGAGAAAGCGCATGACTCATCTGAAAATTCTGGAGAAAGTTTTGAATACGATGTAATGTTGAGTTATTCACATAACGATGAAGATATATGTGATAAAATATATAATTGTTTAACAAAAGATAAATTTAAAGTCTGGTTAGATAAAAGACAAATGTATAACTCGTATATGGAACGAATGGCTGAAGCTATTGAAAAATCAGAGTTTATACTTATTTTTATGTCAGATTCATATAAAAAGAGTCAAAATTGTCAATCTGAAGCAAATTATGCACGTGAAAATAAACGTTATTTAATACCGTTAAAAATTCACACAGATTATAAGCCAAATGGTTGGTTAGGACTTCTCGTAGCTGGGTTAA